CAGAGGTGAGGCAGCCAGGTGCAGAGGTGAGGCAGCCAGGTGCAGAGGTGAGGCAGCCAGGGCTCAGAGGTGAGGCAGCCAAGGCTCAGAGGTGAGGCAGCCAGATCACAGAGGCCTGGCAGCCAGGGCAGAGCTAGGTAGGAGCAGCGACCCCTACCCAGACGGAGAGCCTCTCCTATGCAACCGCAGCCAGAGCATTGACCTGTGTTACTCCTGACGGGTCACGACCCCAGCCCCCTTGGGGATGTGGGTGCAAAGGCCACCGTCCCAGGTATGACCCTATACTTTCTGGGGATACCCCGTCATGCAGAGGAGACACGGACGGCTGACCAGGGCGCTAAGGGGCTGGTCCTGCACAGCATCCTGCTCTCCAGGGAAGCGTGCTCGGCTCTCAGCTGATGGCTTTTCTCCCGGAGTCCAATTCTTGTCAGAAACTGAATCGTCATTACTACATCTAAGAAGCAAACTCCCTGCGTGTGCTTGGGTTTTCCAGATCCTTCTCAGGATCCATAAGCTTGTTTCCCAAGTCAAATGACCCTGCAGTCCTTCCCTCCAGGCTCTCACCGAAACTCAGCTCCCTCAGGCTGGCTCTGCCACGTGTTGCCCCTCGGCCAGCCTGTGTAGGGCCCTCAGGACCCAGGGCTGTGCCTCCCAAACCAGGCAACACCAGGGGGGACACGGTCACCATTTCAGCCCCCAGGATGTGGCTCTCCTAGCAGAGGGCAGAAGAGGTCCCTCTTCCTCCTGCTCCAGAGATGACCAGTCCACCTCGGAAACCTGTGGCCCCAGGCCATGTGTGTCCCAAAGTCACACTCACCTGCTGGCCTTCCACGGAGAGGCAGACCTGCCCCCATGACCCCTGGCCACAAGAGAGCAAAGCAGAATCCTGGGGCCGCAAAGCCCCTGCTCCTTCCCCCAGGAGGGCTGCATGGTAGCCTTAAACAGCTCAGCCGGAACCTCGCCCTGCCTCCGGTGTTGTGCCCTCTGCCGGGGGCAGCCGGACAGCCTGTGCCGGTGTCCCCTGCCACTGGGCAAACACAGTGCTCCTGGATATAGTCCCATGGTGAGGCCTGAAGACTCCCCTGGGGCCCTTCTTCTCTCCCCAGGCGCATCTCCCCATCTCTCTCAGTGTCTCCTGCAGGAGCTCCTTGGAGGGCCGGACACAGGGGCAAGCCAGGCAGGGGCAAAAAAGTGCGCTCTCATCCCACCCCGCCCCTCCCCCACAGCCTCTGGAACCAGTCCCAGACCCGGAGGCTCCTCCAGGAGGCGGGAATCCCACTCTGTGCAATTGGGAAGAGCAGCAGCTTCCCGGGTGGGGATGGTGCCGGTCCGTCCTGCCAGGCCACTGACACCCACCTTTCTTGCTCAGGTTCAGCAGCTTCGGATCCCACTGGCTCTCCTTGGCGGAGACTGCACGGCGCAACTGGAAGCCCATGTATTCCAGGAGCCTCTTGCGGGCCAGAAATATCTCCCGCTCGGCCGGCGTCAGCATGTGGAAGGGGCAGTGGGCAATCTTCCGGTCCTGCAGCACAGCACCCCGTCACCACCAGGGACTGCAAGGCCCCAGCACCCCGCCTGGCCGGCCAGCATGGGAAGCACACAGGCAGAGAGCCCACCCCTCGTGGTGAGGACAGCACAGAACAGCACTCCGAAAGCTGGCGACAGCGGCCCCGCCAGCAGGGTGCCGACCAGGGCGGGCTTCGGTCAGAGGCGGGAAGGGCCTGTGGCCCAGCCTTGCCCAAGACACACTCAGGGCCCCAGGTCCTCTACCCCCATCACCAGTGGGACACTCAGAGCCATACCTGGTAGAATTTGAAATACCCATAGTCGACAGCCGTGCCCACAGCCATCCTGTCGCCCTGCGTGAGCGTCACAGGGCTCAGGATGTCAGCCCCACAATTAATTAGCCGGTCAATCTGTGGAGAACAGAGCCTGGGTCACATGTGCGTGAACGCCCCAGCCACCAGAAGGCAGGACTCGGAACCAGTGTGCCCAACTCTGTGGCCCATGTCACCTGCAGCCTCCCAGTCTTTACATGGTCGCTGGACGGCAGGGGGGCGGCCCGAGGACCCGGCCCCCAGCAGGAGAGTAGGTGCTGCCAGCAAGGGCTATCGTCACCCTTATTACCCAGGGAAGCTACCCTCTGAGCTGCGTGGAGAGTCAGCAGACAGACAGGATAGACGTGCTGAGCCCGCGGAGGAGAAGTTAGGGCAGAGCCCAAGGGAGGTGCAGGCTGGGCCACTGCTCAGGAGCCCCCTGCTCCCCACCGCCCCAGGGAGCTGCTGTGGGTCTGTAACTTGAAGCTGGTTATGGTCCCAGTCCCCAGACCAAAAGTGATAGAAGGGCAACCACGAAGCCCGTCCTGACCCCCTCCCACCACATCCGGGGCTCTCGGTGACTGTGGGTGCCTGCGCGCGCACGTGTGGACGGAGCCACATTCAATGGTGCGCGTGAGCAACTTCTGGCTCCTTACCACCGATCTCATTCACAGCAAATCGCACCCAACAGAGGTGCCCACCTCCACCCTGAAAGGGAGGGGATGGGTTCCATAAAGAGGCTCCAGGGTCTTAGAGCTTTAGCTTGGAAGCTTAACCCAACCACGAAACACGGGGCTCAGTGCGGCCCCGTCCGAGCAGATGAAAACCAGGCTGTCATCCCCGCCACTGCCCATACTGCATACGGTCTACTTCCCAGCCAAGTGCAAGCGGGTGGTCACTCGGGGGGCACACTGCAGTCCCCAAACAGCCAGCAGAGCCCAGTGCCAGTGGGCAGGAGGCCCCGAGCCTGTCCCCAAATGTGCTGACCCTGTGTGCAGCCACAACTGGAGGTGCTCAACGCCTCTGTTGCTCAAGAGCTCCGAGCACCCCACATCCCACGAGGGCGGTGCATTTAGCTGTGGACGCTGGGACTGGGGAAGCACAGAGAGGAAGTCAGCCCTTGCACGGTCTCTGTCATCATCTGGGCCATTCACACCTCACAGACTCAACCACCGTCCCAAAAGCAAGAAGCTGGCTGGAAGGACCGGCTCCAGGCTCGTGTCTGGGCAGGAGGGGCTGAAGGATTCAGTCGGAACGTGGGTCAAGCTGGAGAGCGGGGAGGGCCTGCCGATGGCCAGAGGGCAAGGGTCAGGGGAGGGCCGGGTGTTGCACCCCTCATCAAACATCCGATAAATGCGGACATCCTTGGTTTGGCAGCATGATGGAGATCCCCAGCTGGGGCCGGCATGGTGCTGGTCGGCTGGCAGAGGGGAGCGCCAGGGAGGCCAGAAAGTGGGGAAGTGGTGAGCGAAGGTGTTAATAACCAGTGCACCTAGGTGAGGGAATATGCAGTCACTGTGCCGTTCCAACTTTTATGCATTTGTTGTAATAAAATTAGTAAATGAGTAAGTTGTAAGTAGTTAAATCATTGAAAAATCACTGGTTGGCTGATGTGGGGTCAGGGGCAGGAACCCACAGGTGTGTGAGGGTCCCCTGGATGCCCCAGAAAGCAAGGCAGGCATCAGAGGCTGAGGGGACCAGGGGAAGTCTCCCAAGATCAAAGACAAGACGATTTAAGGGTCGAAAAAGAGAGAGTCCTTCCACTTGCCAAATAATCATGGAGGCAGATGGCATGGCTGGGGCAGAGCAGACCTGCCCACCCCCAGATCCAGAACGCAGCACTGAGAGGCCCCGAAAACACACACGCAGGCACTTCCAGGTGCTTAGAGGACAGGAGATCAGGATCAAGGTAGGATCCTTAAAATGGGATCCGGAAACAGGATCGCAAGAAAAGGGGCCTCACTTTTTCCATAAGGTTGAACTTTTGTCAAGTGTGACAGCCTCCAGAAAAACAAGGTTCTCCGCACCCCACTCCAGTGCTTCTAGCTCTCGGGGAACCACACTGCGGCCCTCGATGGAGCCAGGGCAGCGGGGAGCCCACACAGAGCTGCCCCACATGGGTGTGGGAAGGGGCGAGGCCACAGCACAGGGAGGGCCTGCCCATGCGGCGCTGCTGTAGCAGACCCAGGGCCCTGGCACAGGAGTGAGGAGGGGGCAGACGCACAGGGGGACGTGTCTGGGTGCCTGGCAGGGCCAGAGCAGCTGGGAAGACAGACAGGGACTCTGAGGGAACAGCTCAGCATCCAGAACCTATAAAGCACAGAGTGCCTCCCGATCACACCTGAGCCCACCCGGGAAAAACAGCAATGCTACCAGCAAGCCACGTCCATAGCCAGGATATGGCACCCAGGACCCCCGCCCGGGGCATGGCACCCCCTGCAGGCCCCCACCCAGGACAGCCCCAGTGCCGTTCCAGCAGGTCCTTGACCAGGACCCCTGGCCAATGCCCACTCCACTGAGAGAATCTACAGTCCTGCTGCCCAACCAAAGTGATGGCTTATGTCTTCCTTGAGACAAACCGGAGGACTTTTGTCTGGCCTGTTGAGTGGATTTGCACTTCACACGTTTAGGCCTACATAACATAAAAAGCAAAAATTTTGTATTTTTTCTTAAGTATTTGAACATTACAGAGCAAGATCACTTGAAACGCTACCTGCAAGGAATGAAGGGCAGACCAAGGGTTCCAACACCCCCACCCAGACCCTACACACTAGGGCCCGCTGCCCTGCACACCCCCCCCCCCCCCCAGCCTCACCCCTCACCAGGGCCAGCTTGCTGTCCATGCTCCTCTGGTGCTCACAGGTGAGATCACAGGCAACACACAAGGCGCTGCCCAAGCCTTTGGTCAGTGGCAGGTTGGGGTCAGCTCCATGGGACAGAAGCTCCTTCACGATCTGGACACAGAGAAGCCGGTCAGCACCCCCAGCTCCTCTGTCCTCGCATGTGGAGGAGTGCCCAGAGTAAGGCTTCTGCTGTCCTGAGTGACAGCCACACCTGGCTACTTGCCATGCACCCCACCCACAGGTACCACTGCTGCCCCAGCTCAGGGGAAGAGGCCGGGGCAGGGAGAGGGGGCGTATGGTGGCTCCCCCCAGGGAGGGCTGCGGCACCCACGCCGGCAGCCCAGGTCTGATACTTCCTCTGCACGCTGTCTAGCTGCTCCAAAGTGCTCCTAGCTCAGGTCTTGTTTTCCAGCCCAGGGGCCAGCACAGGGCCTGGTGTGTGTCCCATCAGCTCCTCCTCCCTGGGACCACTCTGCCTTTGCCCGCTAGGCGCCTGAGTCACTGTGATCACCTGACCAGAGGGAGAATGGGGCACATCTCACTTGCTCCCTGCTGGATCCCCGGCCACCAGGAAGCCCGGCGTGACAGCAGCTTGGATGGGCAGGAGACACACTAGTGTGTGGCTCTCTCAGGAGCATCCGACCCCCAGAAGGCAGCTCTCTACCCTGCCCGCCCCACCAACAAAACCAGGCACAGAGCAGGTGCCCCCCATAACTTGCTCAGTGAACAACTCAATGTACACGTCAAGGGAGGAGGGAGAGAAGGACCAGAAGAGCCCCCACAACCCTCACCAACACTGCCTTCCTGTTCCTTAGGCCTCCGCTGATATGTCACCCCAGCACAGACCACAGAAGCCCCCCTGGGCACCAGCTATAACAGCTCATCCGCCATCATTCTCTGCTCCGTATCCAGCTGCTACTATCTTCACAGCACTTACCACCACCTGAAATTCTGTGGCACACTGGATTACGGTCTATCTCCCACACTAGAACGTAAGATCCTTGAAAGCAAAGACCTTATTTTATTCGACACCTGATGCCTAGAATGGTGCTTACCTGGCACATAGCAGATGCTCAAAAAACAACAGTTAAATGAAAGGACGAACGGGTGTACGTATTACAGATCGACGTAAGAAAAAAGTAAAGTAGAAAGGACGACGGATGATGGACGGATGGAAGGATGGAGGATGGACGGACAGACAGATGGATGATGAAAGGATGGATGGGCAGATGGACTGACGGAAGGACAGACGGAAGGATGGATGGAAGAGAAGAAGAAGGACGGATAGACGGATGATGAAAGGATGGATGGACACGAACGGACAGAAGGAAAGACAGAGAGAGAGAAAAACAGAACAAAGGACGGACGGAGGACGGCTGGATGGATGGACGGGCGGAAGCATGGACAGATGGACTGGCTGGATGTGCGGGTTGTATGGACAGATTGGATGGCTGTATGGTTGGATGATGGGTGCCGGGTGGATGTGGGTGAGTGGACGGCTGTGTGGTTGGCTGGACAGATGGATTACTGGAAGGACGGATTAGATGGATGTGCATTTGGAGGGCAGGCAGGTGAATGGATGGATAAGTGGGCAGGCGGCTGGATAAATGGATAGACGTGTGGGCAAGTGAATGAATGTACAGGTAGGTGAACGGATGGTGAACATATATCCTTGGCAACAGCAGGAAATGGGAATTGGCCAAGATTCCTTTCCTTTTCCTTACCGAGGGGTCAATGCCTGGGATAAGCAGGGGTTGTGATCCGCCTGCCCTGAGGGAGCATCCTCCCAGCTGAACCCTCACCTTCCCTGCGCACCTTCCTTTCCACACCCTTCTCTCTCTGAGCAGTTCCATGCACTGCGGAGGGGATCCACCATGTCCTTACACCATGCTATCCTCACGCTACCGCCAACAACAGCAAATCCGAAAGACTGACTAGGAAGGGGATGACGCTGAGGCAGAAACGCTGCAGGTACACCATCAACGGGTGTAGAACGTGCTCACCAGATCGTTCCCACTGGCGATGGACAGCGAGAGTGGGGAGTGGCCACTCCACAGCATGTTGGGGTGTGCGTTGTGGGAGAGGAGGAGCCGGACTACGTCCCTGGCACACTGAGCGGGGAGAAAGGCAGGACCACAGGTTAAAGAGATGCCCTAACTCCCAGGAGCACCTGACGCGGATCATTAACTCAAATGCCATAAAATCAAGCTGGTCACTTAACTGCTCTTTCCTCCACACCAGCACCTTGCCTGGCACACAAAGACCGTTCTGAATTTTGGACGGTTGCATGGATAGGTGCGTGGACGGCTGGGTGGATCCTCAAACTGGGAAGATGTTTTCTATACATACATCACTTCCAACACAAAACAGGAAGGACACACGATGCACAAACTGCTTTACAGTTTGTTTCCAAAGGAAAAGGGAGAGTCAGGCCCACGTGACTATGGTAGCCAGGCTGGCACATGGCAGGTGTGGCCCCAGGGCTCAGGGATCGTGGAGGGCACCAAAGCACAGGAGAAGCCCGGCCTCAGCAAAAGGGGAGCATTCCATGCGGGAAGGGCTCACCCTTGCCCTTCTCCCCGGGGACCCCTCAGCTTTCCCCTCTCTCCCTCCTCTTCTCCCCGAAGTGCTGAAAGTCCTTGTAGCTTTGATTACCCCGCCCCAAGGACTCTTCCAGGCTCCAGCCCCCCCTGCAGGTGTGCAGACCCAGTGGGCTGGTTGGGCTGCCTCCAAGCCCCCTGCCCTTCCCCCACCCCGGCCAGCCCAAGCCTGCTGAGGGGATTCTGGAAAAGCCTCCCCTCCTCTGCTCTCTGCTGAAACACGGATAGCTCAGAGTGGTGGCCTGAACCCAAGGAGGCTTTTACCAGCGATGCTGTGAAACAGGGAGGCATGTGGGTGCCTCCCACCTGCCCCCCCTAGCACTGCCCTGCACCCACCCTCATGCAGATCCTCATACTATCAGGGCAGCCTGATCACTACCCTGTGCAGAGGCAAACCACCCACCCATGCCACTGACCCAAGAGACCGGCTATGATTTCCGTTTTATGGGCGGGTAAACTGAGGCCCAGTTTACTATGTGCTCTGAGGTTTGTCGACCCAGGCTGCGCTGGCCTACAGCATAAAACCAAGGTTTGGTTCCCTCCACAGCCACTCGGCCTCCTCTGACAGGTTCCTGCACCCGCCTTGCTGACAATTAATCCCCAAGGCAACAGGAGGCCTGACCTCAGACAGAGAGTCACAGCTCAGGGCTCCACAAAACAGGACCACCCCGGGGGTCCCGAGTCCAGATGGTGACTGACAGGGCTGCTGGCTCACGGCCCTGCCCCCAACACGCGCACACACAGAGCATGTGCACAAATGTATGCACACACGTGTACTGACCTACAAGTACAAGCTCACACGCAGACATGCGTGCACACCGCACACACACGGACACACTCATGCGCACACACCCAAGGCACTCGCACACGTGTTCAGATGCACGCGCACACACACTCCCTGCCCCGCTCACCTTGTAGTTGTCCTCACGCTCACAGGCCACGTGCAGAGCTGTCCTGCCCCCCTCGTCTGGCACAGACGTGGGCTTGCTGTAGTAGATGCTGGCAGGGCCTGCTTCGTGGTTGAGCTTCAGGCTTGAAGGCAACAGGTCTAGCTGTGGACAGACAGAGGGAGCAGGTACTGGCCCCCAACCTCTCCCCCAAGTGCCAGGCTGGGCCCCTGCAGGTACGAGCTCCCACAGAGGAGCACCAGCAAGAGGCCCCCCTCCCCAGACGGCGGGTCTGAGCGCCCTCCTGCAAAACCCTCTCGCAGGCCCAGTGCAGCCACCACCTGCCCCGGCGGGGGTCAGAGCTGGGCCCCCACCCATCTGGGCCGTGCCCGCAGGGAGCCGCGCCCATGCGGACAGATGCAGGCTGGCTTGGGGCCCAGAGAGCAGTAATCCACCTCGTCAGGGACCGTGAAGTGAAAGAGAATTCTGAACTGAGCCAACAGCACCGTGCAAGGAGAGGCCTCGGCACCCCGCCCCCGTGGGGCAGGACACGCACCTTGCCCAGCTTGTACACGGCGTCCTGGTCGGCGGCCCTGGCGTCCACGTCCGTGACGGCGTGGAGCAGAAGCTCCGTTATCCTGACGCCCTCCTCCCCGGGAAGGGCGGCTGCAATATGCAGGGGGGTGAGGGCCCCCAGCTGCAGAGGCGACAAAGGTAGGGGTGAGGGCCGGCTCCCAGGTGGGCGGCACCCCCAAGGCCCACCCCTCTCAGAAACCCCACAGCACTGCGTTCTCCCCGGTCTCGCTGTGACATGTGGGACCACGGGGCCTGCCCACACTGGAGCACAGACACGTGCACTTCAGCTCCTAAGGCGTTTCCATCCGCCTGGCCTGCGGACAGCGCGCGGCCCTGCCTTCCTTATGACCAACTGTCCCTTCCTTCCTCCGAGCAAAGCCCCTGCCCTTCCTGCCGGACCCCCGTTCGGATGCCACAGCGCGGATGGCCACGCGGCTCCCGACTCCAACCCCTGGCGGGACCTGTCCCTTCTCCCCCCGGGCCATCCGGGAGAGACTGGCAGGAGGACCCTCTCCAGCTCTGGGCGCTGCTGGGTCTGGGCCGGCCCGACGGAGCTGTGACAGCCCGGCCAGCAGCCTGCGGCAGGCCCGGGGTCCAAGCGGAGAGCGGCCGGCTGCCGCAAACCCGAACCCCCAAACCAGGCTCTCAGGGTAACAGCAGGTGCCCGTGGAGGACGCTCGGGAGGACGTCAGCCCCCGGCGCACGGGCGTTCCCCGGGCCTCCGCTCATCCGCCCAACGTCAGACTAGAGCCAAACCGCGCCTGCAGACAGGAGCGCGAGCGCGAGCGACAGACGCCTCATCGGGAGGAGAGAACGGGGGAGCGCGCGAAGGCTCCGTGCCGAGCTTACGAGCTGCCACCTTAGCTTCGACGCGGAGTCCCACCCGCAAGCCTAGAAGGGCATCACGGAATTACCCCGGACGCCCCGCGGACATTCTACTCTCCGGCACTCACGTTACGTCCACGCAGAGAACGGGTGCACGGCCTGGCCGACGAGCTGGTCACGGGAGACCCACAGGCCGCCGAGCGAGGACAAGAGCGGCCCACGAGGCCGGACACACCCGCCAGCCTCGGCCACCCCCGCCGCACGCGCACGCCCCCCCCCCCGCCGCCCGGCCCCGCCCCTACCCCCCCCCCCGCCGCACCCGCACGCGCACGCCCCCCGCACACAGCAAAGAACCCGCGTTCACATCGCCAGAGAAGAAACACTGCGAGGATCTCTCCAAACCAAGCGCTCTGACTTCTCGCCACTGACGAGCCCCCGGTCAGCCCACCCCTCCCGCCTCTCCGGACCCCTCCCCACCCCCGCGGGGGGTCCTACCTCAGGGGGGAGCTGGATGTCCGTCCTGGCCCTGTTCTCCAGCAGCAGCTTCACCCCGGCCACGTCCCCGGCCTTCACGGCGAAGAACAGGGCCTGCATGGGCACGCGGCACAGGTTGGGGTCCGCACCTCGGTGCAGCAGGAGCCTGATGGTCAGCCACCTGCTTCTGTGTCTGCAAGGATCGGTATGACAGAGTCACGGGCCGGAGGCCAGGCACAGGACAGCACCCCCGGTCAGCACCGGCGCTCCCTGGGAGAGGCGGCTCGGGAGCCCCAGCATTCACAGCCCCTCAGCATTCGTTCCGAGACCTCCCGGCCCTGCCCTGCGCCAGGGCAGCTCCCCATCGCCAAACCACACTGGGCTGGCCAGCCCAGCCCAGCTCGAGTCCAGCTGCAGCCCTGCCCCGCTCCAGCCTCGGGTGGTCGCTCAGCCTTGCTGAGGTCATCTGTGAGATGGGGCATGAGGTGGGACTAGCCCTCCCTCCCAGGGTGGCCATGAAGTGATAGAGCACCTAGTACACATAGGGCACGACATTATACCCAGACGACACGCACACACATGCACACGACACATACACATGCACATACACACATTGCATGCACACACAGATGCACACCACACACACACAACACATATACACATACCACACACGTATATACACATGCAACACATGCACACCACACACACCCACTGCGTGCACACATACAGAGATACACACCACACACACGCACATACAACACATGCACACACATGCACCACACACGTAGACACAAGGAACACACACATACACGTATAATTCACGTATACCACATGCATACATATATGCACACGACACACACGCATGCAAATCATGCATATTCAGCACGCACACACCATGCATATCACACACGTGCATGTACTACACATACATACAATATACACAACACACAACCACACCATACACATACACACCTACATACATACACACACACGTCCATGTGTGCACACACACAGTGACACACAGAGCTCTTATGAGGAGCACAGAGCCGGCATCAGTGGGGAAGCTTTGCCGAGACCCGACTGGCCAGGACAACAGCCCCACTAGGCAGGGAGGTCAAGGTGGTGAGGAGCCAAGCAGGCTTTAAGAACGGCTAAGAGGGCGGGAGGGTGGAGGGTCTGGCCCATTCTGCGGGCCCCACCGCTGCCGCAGCACTGGGTAGGGCAGACAAGAAGGCAGTGGAGAGGCAGGGTCGGTCTACAGCAGCAGTTCTCAAACGTCCTGTTCTTGGGCCCCCTCTCTGCTCCTAACATCATCCAAGGACCCCAGAGAGCTTTGTTTATGCAGGTTCCATCCACCCATGTCTACTGTATTACAATTAAAATGAGAAAAAAAATTTAAACACGAATACATTTAAAAAGTAACAATAAACCCATTGCATATTAACAAAAATAACATTTTTATGAAAAATGTGTACTTGGCTGCATCAGAATCCAGCGCTGCGAGGGCTCCCAAGTGTGCGTAAGTCTGGGACATCGGGACCTGGTCGCCTGGGAAGACCTGAGCTCTCCCCCCCACACTGACACGCATCATTAGACACTATGGGGGAGGGGGTGCACGGCCTCCAAAATGCCAGTTTCCACTTGAGAACCAAGATGCCATCGCTGGCACACACCCTGCCGGCTGCCCCCCTAAAGCGTGAGGCTCAGTGTGTGCACAGGGATGAGTGACCCTAGTGTGCCAGCTGGTCGTTCTTGCAAGGAAGAGCTGCGTCGCATGGGGGACCATGGCAAGCACCCTTTGCAACACACGCTATTGGAGAAGCGCTTTCCTCGAGGAAAACGTCCGACTGGTTTGGAGATGTGCTTCGGCATCCCACCCATCTGGTCACAGAGTAGTAGAAAGCCATGAACTCAGGGTCAAGATTTAAAGAGTGAGTCCTTGGCCTCTACTGCTTCATCAAGTGCATTCTCAACGGTGCATTCTCTTATGCGCGTGGGCCCAGGGAAGAGATGTGGTGTGGGTGTCCCAAAGCGAAACGGCAGGTGACGTCTGAGGATTGTTATGCGGATCATCTCCACCTACAAACTCCCCAACAGGGTCTGGGACACCTGGGGGCACGCTTTGAGAGGGCAGGGGGTGAGTGTATGTGAGCGTGTGTGTAGGATAACTTGCAGGGTGTGTGGGGAGGGGTCAAGTGTGTGCAGATGAGTTGTGTAAGCAGGTGAGTGCATGTGTGAATGTGTTGGACAAGTGGGAGTGTGTGCAGGCAAGTGTGTGTGTGAGCACCTGCATGGTGCCCTCCGCCCTGTGGCAGCCGAGGCACCCTCCCTGGATTCTCAGTGCCACTGTCCCCCTGATGTCATAGCCAGGCCCCCAGCCTGGAGCCACACAAAACGTCCCTGGAGGCCATGCACAGGACGGGCCCCACGGCATCCCTATAGGCTTGGGGGATGTGGGACACGCACCTCCAGAAACGCTCCCTCCTGGCGGCCGGGGAAGTGATGCTGGCCCACTGAGCCTGAGCTCCACCCCTGAAAGTGACCCTCGGCCCCGACACCCACACTCCAGCAACCTACTCGATCATGGCCAGCGCCACCTTCCTCATGGTGCCCTTTACCGGGCCGGCGGTGCTGAGTGAGGAGGCCTTCAGCATGCTGTAGGCCTGGGCGCTCTTCCGCAGGAGGTCCTGGGACAGTGTGATGGAATAGTTGCGCACACAGATGCCAGACTCAAAGTTCGTCTCCTGGCTTCCCAGCCTGTGCCCGTCCAGACTCCCTACCGCACAGTCCAGCCCCTTCTCCAGGTCGCCGACGCTGCCCTGCGATGACAGACGGTCCGACTTCGGGGGGTTGCCCCCCAGGTTGGGGGACTCCTGAGACGGCCGGGTGCCTGCAGAGAGGCTGTCCTCCTCATCACCCCATGCAGCCGACTTCTGCTCCTGGCTGCCCGGGGGGGGGCACCAATTCCTCTAAATACACAGGCTCCTTGGCCACTTCGAGGAATGAGAAGGCATGGTTGGGATTTACTGGCATATTTGAAGCTTCCTTTGGGAAGTACCGAAAAAAGAAGGAAAATCACTAGAAGAAAGAGTCAGAGTGACACCCCCATGAAGCTGACTTCTTTAGCGAGGACCAGCGCTCACGGCAGACAGCATTCTTCAGGCACCGAGGCGGACAACGCTAAAACACTTTGCAAAAGTCCAGGGAGGGAAGCAAACCCGTCAGGGCATCGTATGGAAACCTGAGCCACACAGCAGCCACCAGCCACACGTGGCAATGGAGCTCTTGACCTGAGGCCTGTCCAGATCCGGGGTGTGCGTGAGCAGACAAAGAAAGCAGAGCGTCCCTGTCCTGACACTGATTTTACACACAGAGATAATCAATTGTGGATACACACAGTTGAATAAAATATATCATCAAAATTAATTCTACCTGTTGTACCTCTTTTTAATGTCGCTCCTAGAGACATTTATTTTTTTTTTTTGAAGATTTTATTTATTTGCAAGAGAGAGAGAGCACGTGCACAAGCAAGAGGAGGAGCAGAGGGAGAAGCAGACTCCCCACGGAGCAGGGAGCCCCACACGGGGCTCGATCCCAGGACTCTGGGATCACGACCTGAGCCGAAGGCAGATGCTCCAGGGACTGAGACACGCAGGCGTCCCAACCTTAGAGACATTTAAATGACAGGACTGGCGATGTGGCTCGTGCTGCCTTCCTGCCCGCGATGCTGCCCTGCATGCCCCACTCACAGCCTCTGCTCTCCAAGTGTGGTCCTGGGGCCATCAGCCTGGCCAAGAATGCAGATTCTTGGGCCCCACCCAAGACCCCTAAGGCAGAAACACTGGGGGTGGGGGGCACCTGGGTGGCTTAGTTGGTGAAGCGTCTGTCTTCGGCTCAGGCCATGATCTCGGGGTCCTGGGATCGAGCCCCGTGTGGGGCTCCCTGCTCAGCGGGGAGTCTCCTTCTCCCTCTGCCTCTCCCCCTGCTTGTGCTCTCTCTCTTCTCTCTCTCTGATAAATAAATAAATCTTTAAAAAAAAAAAAAAGAAACGCTGGTGGTGGGGCCCAACTCTCTGTGATCCCCCCCATAAGGGGTCAGCTGGTAGACAGAGGGGACGAGGTGGCCCCAGGGCCCTCTGCCGTGACTGTGCCTGGGTAATCTCGGGCGGCAGGTGGGGCAGCGGCTGTATTCACAGCCGTGTGGGGGATGCTCCCGGACCGGTCCCCCTCCCCCCACACGCCACTCTGCAGAGGTGCAGGTGGCGGGGAGAGGGGAGGGTGCGCTGTCCACACAGCAGCCCGGCTTCTCCTTTGACTCAGGACAGGGCGGGGCACCGGTCACAAGCTGAAGCAGCAAAAAAATCTCAACCTTGTGCGGCGTGCGAACTCGCCTGGGTTTGGACTCATTTGACTCCATTCTAGATGTTGACGTGGGAACTTGGGGAAACTGCCCCTGATGGGATCCCTGAGGACTCAAAAACTTGCTGTTTAATTTTTCAGGTGAGATGTTGGCGTCTGTGGTGTGCTAAGAACCTGTCTTTAGGGGACGGCTCTGTGGCTGAAGCCCGCTGATGTGGATGGAATTCACCCTAGACCGCGCGTGGTGGGCGTGGGGACGCGGCGGGAGCGCCACCTGCTGGCAGCTGCTTAGTCGGGGGCAGTCCCCGCAAGCGCCCCTGAACAGCCCTGTGTCTTGGAATGAGACTTTCAAAAGAAAGGCAGAAGAGGGATTTTTACCAGTATTTTAAGTGTACAAATAAAACACTTTCTGGGGCTCTCGCTGCCTTCACCAATAATGGATGAGGCTTCTTCCCCTAGAGCCAGGGTCCCCTGGAGACACTGTGGGCCTGGAGAAGCTGTGGGGACAACACTCCCAACGAAGGGGTGACAGCACAGGACTTCTGTTCCCACCATCACCTTTGAACTTGAAAGTCGTTGTTTCTGTACGTTAACAACTTCTGGGCTAGAAGGAACGTGTACTCACAAACCAGATACAAATGAATGGTGCCATAAAAGCAAAGGGACCTTACAGCTGGTTCTCAAACCCCCCCCACCTTCGACTTCCTGCGGGCTCCTCAGCTCCCGCCTCCCCGGAGACCTCTCCCTGCCGCCTGCACACAAGACCCACCCAGGGCAGCAAGGACCCGGGCTCTGAAGGGAACTGAAGGCAGGGAACCGAGGCCTGCCCTGGAGAAGCAGGGGCAGGGCCGTGTCTTGGTAACTGAGGAACTCTGCCCGCCTCTTCTCAAAGAAGAAATTCAGGAGACAGGGTTAAGGTGAGACAAGAGTCCCAGCAAGGGGACTTTTTCCAGCACCATTCCCTCACCTGCCCAGGAGGGGCCCTGACCACGAGGACAGAAAGCTGCAGCCCCCACGGAAGGCTTGCTGGGCGGAGGTCAGTCCCAGGCTGGGCTGGCCTCACAGGGCTGACAGTTAGGGTCCAGGGTTCCCCGAGGGGTGTGCAGACACGGCCCCTGTGGCCGGCACTCAGGAGACAGGCCACGGAGGTCGCCCTGCACTGCAGAGAGCGGGCCCTCGGGCGCTGCCCAGCCAGCTGTGAGGCCCCGAGCCTGCACTGGAATGGAGGCATACAGGGGCGCCCCTGCAGCGGCGGCAGGGCTCAGAAGCTCCCGGACGGATGAAACGCCGGACCACCAGGTGATCCTGCGATCCCATGGCTGGGGGTGCATCCCAAACAACCCCAAGCAGGAGTTCACGCTAACGCTTGACCGGGGACTTCCGGGCAGCTCTATTCACAACGGGCAAAGGGGTGCCTCACTCCTGAATCACCAGCCTTCCCTCCCTCCCTCTGAGTCTCGTTCCCTGGGACCCACAGGAGGGGTCTTGGGCCGACTGCTGTGCATGTGGCTCGGATAAGACACATAGCCCTTGGCGTTGTGGCAAGAGCTCAGGACGCTGAGCGGTCATGCTGGCTCCGTCCCTGCCTCCCACTCCCTGCCCACGGGCCGTAGTGTCCCTTCACCCCAGCTAAAGCCGATCTGCACATAGACAGGGAGACCGGAGACCGCGGCCAGGAGAGATGGACAGGGGGTAGGGTACAGGGTGCTACAGACGCCAGGCCGGGCTGCAGGGTCGAGGGGCTGACCTGGGGCTTGGGTGCCGTCCGCTCAGCGATGTTGGGCTTGAAGCACCTGGACGGGTAGTAGAGTAGGAAGCACATGCTGAGTGCCGTGAGGCCCTCGTCTGTGTACTTGTTCACATCGGCCCCGTGGTCCAGCAGAAGGTTGATAATGTCGTTGTGACAATGAACCTGGGGGGAAGAAGCCAGCCTCGTGAGGACAGCAGGTACCTGACTCAGAGACAGCAGTGTGGGAAGATCAACACGCCCCAGCCTCTCTGCCATCTGACCCTATGCACCCCACTTATGGCTGGGAGGACAGCAGCCCCGCAGAGGGGAGAGGACCCCAGACCGTCACGGATCCACCGTGCCGGGGGCACCCCGCATGGGGACTTACGGCAGCCGCGGCGAGCACAGTGTAGCCCTTGGCATCGGCCACATTGGCGCTGGCAAGGTCATCCCTGAGGATCCCGTAGATCCAGTCGTAGTCCCCTTCCCCAGCCCTCAGGATCATGTCCTTGGCAAGCCGCTCCTTGGGCCCACTACACGCAAAGCTTCTCCGGTCCCCCTCCAGGATGGCACCCATGTTCCAGCTGCTGTGGGCCTTCTTGTTCCTGGCAACACAGTGGGCCTCAGTGGTGTTAGGCCAGCTCAGGACCCCCACTCAGGACCCTCTTTCCCCTACCCCTTCTCTTCATTCCTCACCCGGCCCTGCCCCAGGCCCTCTTCCTCCCCTTACAGTCCACTCCTCAGGCACCCTGAGCCCTGGGGGCCGCACCACTGAGCAGTCACAGTTAGCATGGATGCAGCACTGTGGTGTGACTCGCGGCCCTCAGGTGCAGATGCTCAGGCTCATCGTGGGCCCTGCACATCCCTGATTCATCGGTCCCTTCATGTGTGCTGGGAAAGGGGCTCTCATAGGAGGGGCCCCGGGCGGGAAGGAGGCCAGGCACACACATGGGCCTGGCACTCAGCACCAAGCACTCATACCCCACCTCTGCTCATTCACTGTTTGAGTAGATAACATGCAAGTCCCATGGCCCGTTCACCAGCACACACTTAAGCCTCCTGTGTACACATAACCTCCTCCACAGTCAAGAATCTATGGATTTATGGCACCTTCTGTGCCCAACAGTTATCAACAACTACTGGTTCAGCTGACGTCTGCATGATGGATGGACAGACAGATGGCTAGGTGGATGGGTGGAGGGGTGGGTGGGTAGACGGAGGGAGGGAGGGAGGGAGGGAGGGGTGGAGAAATTAGGTGGGGGGATGCATGAATGCAACAGTAGCCAGCCACTTGTGCTTACCAAACATAAACTCTAAAACAGTTCAGTGATTTCAGAGGACAAAGTTCAGTAAACAAATGAAAATATTCTTGAAAATTTTAACTTAAAATACCAGTTTTCATCAGGTAGCTGCTAACTTTTCCAGGGCTGGGGTGGGGAGGAAGGGTGTCTTTGGAGACCAACGGAGCACTTCATCTTTCCCAGCCAGAGGCTCCGCCGGCCGCCAGCCCCCAGCCTACTCCTACCCTGCTCTCCCACCCTTGGCTCTCGGCTCAGATCCGTACTCATACATCAGGGTAACAGCAGGCCCTTCTGCTTGTGTGGACCTCGCGTAGATACCCAGCCTACTGGACACCTAGTCACAGACATGACCTGCAGAGGCTGGGGCGCAGGCTCCAACCGGTACAGAGAAAACACACACAGGGTCCCAGAACCAGGATTTGAACTCAGCCCCATCAACTCAGGCGTTGACCCTATTCCACAGCCCCTCGCGAGGCTCTACACTCTTCTCGGGCCTACCCTGGCTCCATGCTCACCAAGCAACCCCCTGACAACTCCTTCCCCCAAGACCAGGTGAGCAGGATCCAGCGTCCCAATACCCTGTGCCAACATCGATGGCCCCCGCACCTGCCTGGCCCACCCCTCTCCTCGCAACCCGGGGACATGTCCCTGCTCACAGGCCCGGCATGGCTTTCCCTCCGCCTCCATCGCTGGGCTGCCTCAGTCAAACAGAAGCACACTCGCTTTAACCTGACAAATAACCCTGCAAGTTACCCAGCCAGGCGCCGGAGGCCTCCAGGGGCCCAGCACTGAGTGCAAGCCTGTCAGCGGCGGGAGGAGCAGGCCTGCCAGGCGCTGAGGTGAGAAAGAACCATGTGACGACTCACCTGTACTTGTAAGCTTGCTTCTGGATTTTGACCATCAAAGGGGTCTCATTTTTTATAAACCAGGGTTCACCGTCCTCAACAAATGGAGGGATATCATTAAGGAAGATCAGGGCATCTAATTCTTTGCGGAAAGAGCAGGTCATGGGCAGGTGGCTGTTGTCGGTTGAGTAAATGTACATTTCTGGAGGCAGAGTTAGGTCATCATTCAGAAGAAACCGCTTATAGTCATAGAAAAAGGGGTCCCGTTCCTCATGCAGGTCCCACTCCATTTTCTCCTCGCCCAAGAGGCTGATTCTAGCAGGAGAGTGCGTGAGGAAGCCCGAGTACTCGGGGTAGTCATGTATGGAGAAGCTGCTGGGGACCTCTGTGCACAGCTTGATGAGGTGCTCCCGAAACCACAGCCCGACGTCCTGGCTGCCGTCGGGGTGGGTCTCAATGCCTGGCCCAAACCGCTCGTTGGCTTTGTACAGCCCCTGCAAAACAAAGTTCACTAGGGCAAAAGAGAGAATTCAGCAGGGCCGTCTGCTCTGCAACTGGTTTCTCAAAATCAAAAAACTAAACCTTCCCAAGAAATGTATTCATTCATTCAACAAATATTTGCAGAGGCTTAGTGTGCACCAGGCCCAGGGGCCAAAAGCAAATGTGTAAATATGGAACACATGGGTAGAGAAAGGTGCTACGGGCCTGGGGTGGTCAGGGGTGGCCTTACTGGGAAAGTGGGGACACGCCCGGGGGTCTCAGGGTGGAGCGTGTCGGGGATACCACATGTGGGCTCATTTCAGGGAACCCCTTGCAGCACTAGGGGCCTAGCCCAGGCACCCCAGCAGCATGGGGGTCGGAGATGCTGGGCACTGGGTCACAGAGACCCCAGCACGCATGAACTGAGGAGGCAGGAGGAGGAGGGGGAGGATGGGGAGGAAGGGAGGGGGTGGAGGAGGTGGAGCTAATGCTCCCTTCCAGCAACCCAGCAGAGTGCAGTGATTCCTGGACCTCTCTGGGTGCTCCCACTGGGTGGAACGGTGTCTGTGCTGCGTGGAGCATGGGTGCAGAGGGAAGGGCCAGGAGGGCCTCAAATGAAAGGCAATGCCGCCCCTCCCCACCCAAGGGAACTGGGAGAAGGGCTCCGGCACCGGGAGCTCAGAGAGAGGCCCCACTTCCCAGGAGAGCTGCATGCTCCCTGCGCTGGCACTGAAGGACGCCCGGAGGTCACCGGGATGGCCGAGGAAACAGCCTGGGCGATGTTGCGGAGGCCTGACACAGCGGGGGCATTCGGTTCACTCCTGGGAGCTGTGCCCTCATCTGTGAACCGGGCCAGGGCTGCTGAGTCAGGGCTCTCTGGCTGCAAGCCCCGCGGCTGGGCACTTGGGATGTAAGGCTCTGAGCTGCATGGCCCCGCCCACAAGAAGCTCACAGGCTACAACAGGCTAAAGAAATGAAAAGAAAATGCGCTGAGGATGACGTCACTGTGCAGGAGGTGGGGGGAGGGGGGCAGAGGTACTTCGGGAAGAAGCTGCACGGGGCACGACGTGCCACCGCAGTCTGTGAAAGTGGCTTGGTGGGGCGGGGCACATTCAACCTGGAAGCTCCTGTCACCCAGGAGGATGGAGCCACAAGATCGGTGGGCGGGGAAAAGACTGGGGACAGGGCAAAGAAAGGGGGTGCAGGGAGGCGGGCAGTCGGAAAAGCAGCTGCTGCAGACCTATGAGGAGTCCAAAGGCGTTTGTACCCCAAGAGCTGACCCAAGAGCTCCCCTTCCAGGAATCCATCATAAGGAAATAATCCCAACGTCATCAAAGCTATGGTCACACCTATGTTCACGACAGTATGTATAACAGCAAACTATAATCATACTAATAAAATGTAATCCTAATAATGGTTATGTCTGCAGGATGCAACATGTCCCAGTGTTTGTCTCTGACACACATTTACTTTGTGACCAAACAATGCCCTCCTAGGAATGAATATATCCCAGAGATCACCAACAAAAGCACGGAATGATTGATGAGCAAGACCGTCACCGCCATGCCCTTTGGCACAACAAAGCCTGGAGAAAAGCTCCCATGTGGTCAACCCTTCCCAACCAGCTGTAAGGACACGAGATGCCCGGATGATGGGAAATTGCAGGCAACCGTCGAAAGCGCGAAAAGCGCAGGCCCTGGCGTCTAAGCAGGGAGGAGCTGGCAGGCGCACGGGCTCATGGTTACACCTGCAAAGATAAAGCTGTAGAAGCAGTCACCACTGACAGGACAGGATGCCAGAGAGAAGAGAAGGGACGGACGCTGGACTCCTCTGGGTGGACCCTGTTTGCTAGATCTGCCTTGAGAAAAATATCAGTCTTTTACATAAGTTTAAAACAAAATTAAGGCAAGATTTAAAAAATCTAATCCTTAAAAAACAAAAGCAAAGCGAGTGAGTGCAGCTCTACTCCCAGGTGGTGGATTAACTGCACAGAGAGGAATTATGTCCCATGACTGGACTCAACATGCCTGTGGGGTCAGCCCCAGGAACAAAAGGGAGGCAAAGGAGCTCTGAGTTGCTTTCAGGAGTCGTGGGGTCCCAATGCTATGTTATTATTCTGAAACTGTCATACATATTTTATGAGGTAAAATAGGTAGAAATGTTGTTAATGGTTAGAAATGAGGATTTTTAAGACTAAGAGGAAAGATATGCAAATACAATACCATGGCTGTTGAGTAAAAACTCTGTATTCCTAAACTGGATTTGGAGACATCAGTATGAACCGGTGGTAAATTTTCTCATTTAGAAAATATATATTATCTAGATCTGCTACTAAAAATACTAAATATAAAAACCAAGCCAACACAGTAGTAATAAGCACCGAAACTGTGGTCTCCAAACACCATTTCCCACTGTGGAACCAGGCCTGCCAGGTAAAGTCAACTCTGAGTCCAGAGCAGGAAGTGTATGGATGAACTGGGGACAACTCCTCATCGCAAAAGGCAAGACAGCCACCAAAGCTGGAGTTGTGTCAATTGCAAGAGCCAAATGAAAAAGGCTCCCCTGACCAAACAGTGCCAACTGGGCATCGAAAAGCTTAACGACTGCAATGTACAGATAAACCAAGTATATTAAAATCCATGAGTTCACAAAGATATGGAAAAACCTCACTAAGCTCCACTGACCACCACTGAAGAATGTTAGACAGTGATCACCTTCCGACTCTGACAACCAGCAAAGAAAGGGAAACGATCAAGTGTCATTTTGCTTTTCCCATTAAACTACCTCCAAGTAACCAAACAGCTTTTATCTTGCAGATAAAAGAATTCTAGTTCACATGGGCGCCTGGGTGGCTCAGTCGGTTCAGCGGCTGCCTTCGGCTCAGGTCATGATCCCCGGGTCCTGCGATCGAGTCCCGCATCGGGCTCCCTGCTCAGTGCAGAGCCTGCTTCTCCCTCTCCCTCTGCCATTCCCTCTGCTTGTGCACTTCTGTCTATCTCTCTGTCAAATAAATAAATAAAATCTTTAGAAAATAATTCCAGTTAACAAATGGAGGAGGAATCATAGATTTAGAAGGTCACTGTCTTACACCCTCCCATGAAATAACGGTCATCGGTATTCTCCAAAATCAGGAGAAGTTAAGACGAGACCGCCATCGTAACAGATGGGATAGGACAGCAGACCCCGGCCCCCACTGGCCAATCCTGACATCACGGGAAGAAAGACAACCAGACATGTGTCTCCACATGTGGTTTTTGACAAAGATGCAAAGGCCAGCAGTGGAGAGAGGACAGCCTTCTCAACCGACGGCAGGGGGCCAGCTGGACACCCACGGGTCAGACGGGACGGGAGGAGGGCTGACCCCCGCTTCACGTGAAATGCAAAAGTGAACTCAAAACAGATCGCGGACCTAAACGTCAGTGCTAACACCATAACACGTAGACGAGAACACAGACAGAAATCTTGGTCACCTGGGGTTAAGCAAAGATTTTGTAACTAGGATATAAAAAAAAGCAAGAACTAGGAAAGAAATATTGATAAGCCTAAGAGTGGCTAAAATGAAAACAGCAGACAAAGCCAAGCACTGACAGAGATGTGGAGCAAGGACAACGTTCACACGTGATGAGCTGAAACGGAACAGGCACAGCCACTTTGGAAAACCACTTGGAGGTGTCCTATAAAATTCATCATACACTTAACATATGACCAGCAGTCCCCTCCCAGGTATTTATCCAAACGCAAAAATAGACATACATGCACGTGAGGACTTGTAATCAAATGTTCTTAGCAGCTTCATTCGTAATAACCAAAAACTGGAAAGATCAAATCAAAACCGTGTATCATATCCACGCAATGGAATACTGCCTCCCAGTAAAAGAAACGAATCGCTGACATATGCAAATACGTCTGAATCTCCAAAGAATCATGCCCTACACCAGAGAATTCACACAGGAAGTGCCCCCCGCGGCAGGGTCCCAAGGACCTGAAATGACAGGAAAGGAAGACCTGTGCTAACGAGCAGAGCAGGGTCACTGGGGGCTGGCAGAGGGAGGGGCTGGACAATGAGCCTCAGGGCCTTGGGGGGTTTGCGCGTGCTCACGAACGCACACATGTGCACAAGACACCATATATAAAGGTTTATAGCAGCTTGATTCATAACCACCCAAAGCTGGAAACTAGCCAACAGCTGGGACAACTGTGCAGGAGCCGGGTGCTGCCCAAGCGCTCAGCACTAAGGAAGGACCTACCGGCTCACTACAACGCAGGTGGATCTCCAACGCATTTTGCTAAGTGAAAGGTCTACATATTGTATTTTGTTAACAGGACATTCTTGCCAAGGTAAATTAGAGGCCAAAGGACGGGCCAAGAGCTGGGGTGAGAGGAGAGACCGGTCCCAAAGGGTCACGGGTAACATCGGGGGATGGAACGGTCCAGTGTGTTCACACAGCTCTAGGCTTGCGAAACTGTATATATACTAAAGTGGGTGGGGTTTACTGTGAGGAAATAGAAGGAGGAAATGTATCTTATCTGCAAATTTCAAGACACTATATGTGGAATGACCCAGTTTATGTATAAAAAAACTAAACATTTATGGTGCATTTACAGTTGACTCTAAAGGACACACAGCGCGCTGATACCCAGACCTATTCTGGAAAATGGATCCGGAAGAGGCCTGTCTTCTCACTCATGTTCTTCTTCTCATGAGCCTTATTATTGTATTTTATTACTGGTACTGTTTTAATCTCCAAAAATAAGAAAGCTACCACTTGTTGCACAAATAAAATTCCCCAGAACCTAAATATCCTTTTATCCAGTGGCCTGAACACACAGGACCCCACCTCTCCTCTGCATAAGAGGCACATCCGCCGCTCCCCTGCACACTAGGTGGCCCCACCTCCCCCCTGCACACGGGGAACATCCGCCCCTCCCTTGCACAAAGGACGGCCCCGCCCCTCCGCTACACAAAGGGCGGCCCCACCTCTCCCCTGCACACGGGGCACGTCCGCCCCAACCCTGCACACAGGGCGGCCCCACCCCCCCCACCCCCGCACACTGGGCTGCTTGCCCCTCACCTGGAAGAGCCTGGTCTTCTGGTACATGGTGCCGTAGCCTTCTCGGTAGCTCAGGTAAAACATGCCGGTGAAGCTGGAACCATCGGGCCACAGGTAGGTGCCCAGCCCGTGGCGGTGGTCACGGTAAAACTGCCCGCGGTAAGACTGTGAAGAGAGCCCCGAGCCGGACGCGCCTGAGAAGCCGCTCCTCCCCGCCTTCCAGAGCCACTCTGGCCACAGGCCCCCTTCAAGCTGGGTGCATGCTGTCTGTTAGAGATGGTCACCTACGTGCCGCAGAGCAGGTGCCAGGCGGTCCGCGCCCCAGTGGCCGCGCTCGCCCTCGCCTGCCCTAGCTCAGGCAGGGGCATTTGGACAGGTGTTGCTACAGCCATGACCGGGTTTGGGTGGGAGCGGGCTCCACTCAGGAGCTCTGACCCGGGCTCAGCTCCATCCTGCCTGGGTTCACAGGCTGCAGGCTGGTCTAGGCAGGGGAGGGGGCACCAGCCTCGGGCTCCCCTGCGTGGCCCCAGGGGCAGGCTGTGGACCCTGGTGGGGAGCACTGGTGTGGCTTTGATTTAAAACGCCTCCACAGGGCGCCTGGGTGGCTCAGTTGGTTAAGCGACTGCCTTCGGCTCAGGCCATGATCCTGGAGTCCCGGGATCGAGTCCCGCATCGGGCTCCCTGCTCAGCAGGGAGTCTGCTTCTCCCTCTGACCCTCTTCCTTCTCGTGCTTTCTATCTCTCATTCTCTCTCTCTCTCAAATATCTCTCCCAAATAAATAAATAAAATCTTTAAAAAAAAAATAAAAAAAAAAATAAAACGCCTCCACACTGAGCCATGGATGCAGGCCTATGTCTGCTCTTGTCCCAAGCCCCACCGATGTTAGGGGCGGGTCTGTCCGAGTCTGCCCCTCTACTGGGGCCTCAGGAGGAAAAAAGAATGTGATGCCCATTCCGAGCACTTTCCAACAGCCAGTCCGGACCCTGGGGCATGGCTGACAGCCTCTTTCCACACCAGGAGCAGGCCGGGTCCCGCAATGCTCACAGACCACTCTGGAGGAATGGATGCTGCCTGCTGCCTGCTTAGTGTCCCTTCTCTTTCCTCTGGTGATGGAGAGGACTCCCTGGGGGGTTGGCGGTGGCCTGACCTCAGCCCCCAGGCACATGGTACCAAGCCTGGCCAACCTGAGGACTCCTGACCCCGAGCCCCAGCCCTGACTTGGACTTGGCCACAGGACCCCTGCCCAAGCCAGACTAGTGTCCTGCTAGGGCCTGTCCTCTCTTCCAGGAGCATGTGATGCAGCTCCCGTGGGCTTGCCAGATGGCGGAGGGTCAGTCTGGACCCCCCACATGGAGATAGGGAGAGAGGGGCCCAACAGGGTCATTGGAATCCCTGGATCCAGCCAAGCCTAGGGCCACATGACCCCCAGTGATGGACTTTTCAGTTCCAAGAGCCAACAAAGGCCCTTTTCAGTCTCACCTGGGTTGAACGTAGGCTCAGTTACAGTTCTGAGGAGCCTGTCCAGCACAAAGACACTCACTGAGCAGAGAGGCACTGGGCTGGGGCTGCCCATCTTCCGCCAACACCCATCTAATTAACATGGTTTTGTAGAGCAAATCAGAGTCCACCAAACTTAAAAAAAAAATGTTAACTGGCAAATTGTGTAGCACTGCAGGGGGGATATTTAACCCTCTGGTCACTTGGGTGTGTATGCATGTGGATTTCTGTCCACTCCCTGGGAGAAAGCACCGGAGGGACCCTGTCCATCATGGGCTCCATCCCTCCCTGGCCCTCCCAGACCGGGAGCCTCATCTCACCAGCCGGAGCTGACATGCTTGGTCTGGTCCTTTGAACACAGTTAACGAGTTTAAGGTCACTGCTCGTGAGTGGCATGCCCTCCTGTCCCCTGGCCTCTCCAGTTCGTGAGCTGGATGAGCGTCTGCTCAGCGGACCTGAGGTCCCTGCCAGGCAATAATGAAGCCGTGGCTCCATCACAATACCCCCGCCCAACTGTGGTCTCCCTTCACGGGGAGAACCTGGGCTCTGCAGGGCAGGTCACCCAAACCTCCCAAAAGCCATGAACGGGGCTGTGGGACACTACAGTGTTGGGAAAAAGAGAGAACCTAGCTGAGAACTAAGACAATAAACAACCCACAGGGGTCCGTGCTTGATCACTGACGTCACAGTGACTAGCATTCGTCAACAGAAGCTCCGCGCACGCTTCAGCCCCGGCTGTCCTGGCCTCTGTCCTGGTCACAGGAGGTCTGGAGGGCCCTCTGAGCGTGGGGTGCATTCCTAGCGAAGGACCGGGCCTGAACCAGGGCCCCACCAGTCCACTGCCCTTGGAGCTACTGAATCAAAGTCCCCTACCGGGACATCTTCCCATGTCACACTCATACCCATGCTCTGAAAATCTCCCCGCCGGAAGAACAGGCAGCCACAGCTTGGGTGCCGGTCATGGTGCTGCCTGAGGCCGTGGCTGCCCCACCCTCCCAGAGGCCCCCGGGGGAGCAGCTTCGGCAGCCAGTCCGCTAGGGTCTCCCCTGGGGTCCCGGACATGCCCTACTGTGTGGGTTCTAGAGCGTGCTTTCGCTTGATTGTTAAAAAGATCCTTTCCTTCTGCTTAATCTTAAATACAAAGCCATTTCACCAACATAAATACAACTTGATACAGTAATTTGTGATTTTAAAACAGTCGCCCAGAATAAGAATTTATCTTCAGTAATACTTCCCAAGCTTCGACCTGGGGACACCCAGGCCAACCGCAGGCATGACCCTGGAAGTCTGTGAGAATGTTTCTCTCCAGACATTTCTCATGTGGGAAAGACATTAGCCTGCACCCTTCCCGGCCGGTGGTCTGCACGTTCACCTCACGTCCCTCTTACGAGAGGAGAGGCCAGGGCCGCCTGGGCGCTGAGGCGGTTGAGTGTCTGACTCTTGATCTCAGCCCAGGTCTCAGGGTCATGAGATGCAACCCCATGTCAGGCTCTGAGCTGGGAACGGAGCCTGCGTAAGACTCTCTCTCCCTCCCTCTCCCTCTGCCCACCACCCCGCTCCCTCGCTCCCTCTCTTAAAAAAAAAAAAGAAAAAGAAAAAGAAGAGGAGAGAGCGGTGGCTGGCTGAGACTGGCCAGGAGGGAAGGAGCAGTGGGAGCTGGTTACCTCTCCCGTGGGCCAAGAGAATTCACCATGCCCCAGCTTCATGTCCAGCCCGAAGTCCCCTCGGTACACACAGCCATCCTGCCACTCCTGCACGCCTTGGATCAGCTGGATGTAGGCCTCTTTCAGGTCCTGCCCCCCGGGGGGACCCTCGGACTCCTCTTCCTCCTCCAGGGCCTCTGGGATGTCCCTAGGAAGGTGAAGAGCAGGGGAAGGAGGACCCACGCCGGCACAGGCCTGAGAGAACCACACGCCACCTCAGTCCTTCCTCCCACCCCCCCCCAGGGCAGACGCTGTTGCTACCCCCATTCTGCAGAGGGAAACTGAGGCACGGGGCTGCAGTAATGGCCCAAGTGCACAACCTGTGTCTGTCTCACACGGCTGAATGGCTGCCAGTGCTCTGGAGGCACGACCAGCTCTACTACCTGGAAGCAGATGGTTGCCCCACTCCAGCTGTTTGTGGGGCGAGCCTGTGCCCTCTTCCAGTCCACAGTGCCCCGGCAGGAAGTGGACACTTGGGAGACATGCATGGACCAATGAATGGTCTAAAGAAGGAGAAGGAGCTGTGGTCCAAGAGGACCAGCAAGCTGACCAGTAAGACAGACAGATGGAAGGCTGCAGGGATGGGTGGGTGCACAGCAAGGGGCAGAGAATGGGCATCAAGGTGAGTTCGCGTCTTTTCTGCTCTTGCTATCTAAAAGTACAAATCCTAACTTAAAAGGGGACCTACTCCTACCCCCCATCACACACACGGCCCCCCTCTCTGCCTCCCTCTCAAGTCGAAAGGGCACCCTGGGGACTCTGCATCTTGGTGTCTCTGGTCTACGGACCTGTGCCACGGTCAGGTGGACGGTCTAGCTGGGCTGCTCAAAGCACAGAAACCTCCAGACTTTGGTCCCCTACACCAGCCAGCCCTCCCATGCCAGCTATGAGCCACAGAGGCTTAACAAAGCATTGCCCAAAGAAGGGACACAAAGTCTCCTGAGAACACAAGAATCTCCATTTGCCGTGTTATGATGCATCTGTAGAAAGAAGCCGGGAAAAATAGACACCCACATGCAACAATGATAAAATCTGGGGGCTCAGATTTGGTTTGTTTTTTCTTTGCTTACCTGTGGCTATGGGTTGAGTTGTGTCCTTACCCCCCCAACACACACACAATTCTCTATTGGAGCCCAAATCCTAGCACCTCACCATGTGACTGTACTTGGAAACAGGATCTTCACAGAGGTGACCAAGTTAAAGTGAGGTCATTAGGGTGGGCCCAGTCCAATGTGACTACCGTCCTTCAGCCAAGGGGAAGTATGGACACAAAGAAACACATGAAGAGAAGATGACATGTAGACACAGGGAGAAGACAGCCATTTACAAGCCAAGGAGAGTGGCCTGGAGCAGAGTCTCCCTCACACCCTCAAAAGAAACCACCCTGCCCACACCTTGACCCTGGACTTGCAGCCTCCAGACTGATAGACAATACATTTCTCTTGTTTAGGCCACTCAGCCTGTGGTGGCCTGTTGCAGCCCTAGCAAACTCACACACCACTTCTCTTCCCACTTGGCTGCATGGCACAGATCCTACTTCCTCAATTAAACAAATAGGAACAAATGGAAATTCTTAAAAAAATAAATGGAAATGAGTTTAAGATCAAGCAAGAACATCATTAACACCACCAGTCAGCTGTGGGGGGTCCCTGGAAATGGTCAGCTGGCAAGGTGAGCAAGGGCTTGACCACCTGGTTCTGCTGCCAAACAGGTTCCTTCCCTACACCCCTTATGACTCAAGGACATTCTTCATCGGTAAAAGAGGGGCTATGTCAGTCTGCTCAGACTATTACCAAGCCCCACAGGCTGGGCGGCTTGGATCGCACACATTTATTTCTCACAGTCTGAAGGCTGGCAGCCTGAGACCGGGGGGCCTGCAGACTCCATTCCCAGTGAAGGCCAGCTTCCTAGTTCATAGATGGCCGAGAGAGAAAGCTTTAGCTTCTCCCTCTTCTTATAAGGGAACGAATCTTATCATGGGGCCCCATCACCTCATCTAAGTCTCCTCCCCAAAAGCCCCATCTCCAGGGCTGGGTGTGCAGGTGCATGGAGGACGGATGATCCATGGAGGGGTGTGCTGGCCGGAGGAAAGCAAGGCGGCCTGGCAACCAGGGGTCTCGGGCTGGAGCCTGGAGAAAGGCAGGGGCCAGTGGGAGCGGGAGCAGCTGCAGACCGAGGCAGAGCTTCTGGGACTCCGGCCCACCCTCTGCTGGGAATGCACCCCACGCTCAGAGGGCCCTCCAGACCTCCTGTGACTAGGACAGAGGCCAGGACAGCCGGGGCTGAAGCGTGTGCGAGCTTCTGTTGACGAAAGCAAGTCACCATGACACTGGGGGTGAGGGCTTTAACATGAATTCTGGGAGTGGGGAAGAGCCAGGGAGACACAGTTCAGTCCATAACGGGGACAAATACAATAGGATTACAGGCTGGGTTTCACAAGATGCCAAGGTAAGACTCTAAGGGCAGCCCCTGGCCCAAAGTAGACCTGAGATGTGTTACATCGCTCACAGTTACCATACTGTGAAGAAGCTGTACCAACTTGGGAACTCCATAAGGCAGATGTTCCTAAGGCCACGAGAAGGTGACACAGAAAGGCAGAGTGGGTGAGCCAGAAGGAGTGTGTGCAGAGATCCAGCAGGGGCCTCCTTACCCAGTGTTGTAATTTTCCTCAGTGGTTGCTGATACAACGTTGAGGTTTTCCTGTCTCTCCAGAGACAAGCTTTTGAAGGGCAAAATAAGTTTTAGCGGTTTTTTAACACCTGCCCCAGTGCTGGATCCCAGCTAAGTGGTCCCCAGGGTCAGGCTGGGACCCCCCCTGTGGGAGCCCCCACCCCACCCCGCACCTTTTGGTAAAGAGCATATCCATTGTCCTGGAGCTCTCCAGGGTCCCCAGGTCCTCGGTGGGGGCAGCAGGCTCACCGCCCCTCCCCACCAGCTGATTTTCATAGATGTCAACATCTGGGATTTCATAATAGAAGGCTGAAGAATAACTATTTTCCATGCCTCTTGTCCTCGAACCTGGAAGCAAAGCCAGGGACCCACATTAGCCCTCAGAGCTCCTGGCGGGCGCCAGGGACAGGCCCGCAGCCCCCCATCCGCGTCAGAGAAACGAAGCCCCATCCCCCCAACCTGGTCGACGCCCCTATCCTATTGAAAACTTCCGGAGAAACCTTGGCCGGCGCCCTGAGGAGGTCCCCGTCCCTCCAGTGGGGCGGCAACCACGTTAAGGGCGGTTGGCGCCACCCTCGCACGACCTCTCAGGGCCCTGTGTTGGGCTCAGTATTACGCCTGCTACTGGCCCCAGAGGGGCCACAAACAGTAGGCGCCCCCTCCCCCACGGGCCTCTGAAGCCAGCCCGAGAGGGCTGGACGGCCAAGTGCGGGGACACGGTCCTCACCCGACCTCACACTCACAGCCTCTCAAGCCCGCCAGGCCCCAAATGTCCTGCCTGTCCCGGCCCGGGGGGGGACGGAGGGCCATGCCCAGGGGGCGTCGAGTCCCCAGCACAGGCCTCCCCCGCCGCCCCCGCAGAGCTCCGGGACACGCCCCTTCCCGGCTCCCCGCGCTCCCGCCGGGATCCCAGCCGCACCCCTGCCGCAGGGCTGCACCGAGGCTCAGAGAACTGGCTCCCACCGCTCCCGGTCCGCCCAGGGCGGCGACCAACCCAGAGCAGCCCAGAGCAGCGCCCCGAGCCGAGAGCGTCGGGTTTCCCCGGCAACCCACCCGCCGCCCACGTGCCCGCTGGGCTCTGGGCCTCCGCCAATCCCCGCGCCCGGCCCCGCCCACGGGCGTCCTCGGCCGAACGCGGGGCGCCCCTCTGTGACCTCACGGGGCCCCCGGCGCGCGCGCCCGCGCCGAGCCCCCCACGCCTCTGCGCGTGCCGGCCTTCCGTCTGAGCTCCGCCAGAGAGAGGCGCGGGGACCCGGCCAGCCCGTCTGCACCGCGGACACCGACGTCCACGTCCAGCAGAGGACGGGGAGCCCGCTCTGGGCCAAGGCGCTAAATGCGCCAACGGCCCCGCGAAGAGCGCACGGGGACCGTGTCCGTGAGACACCGGAGGAAACCAAGGCACAGTGCGGTTAACTTGTCCACCGCCACGTGCCAACACGCCGAAGAGCCAACATCTGAAGAGCTCTGCGGGACTCCGAAGCCGGTTTTTGTCGGTTCCGTACAAGTTTGTGGCAGGCACGGAGCGAAGCTTCTGGTCCGGTGCGGGGACAAGGCGACCTAGGGGCTCCAAGTCACAGAGACAAGAAGGATTAGCTGTGTGGACCGAGGCGTCACTGGAGAAGACTGCGGAGGGGGAGTCCTGAATAGGGCTTCAGAGGATGCGCAGGAGCTCTCCAAACGGGAAGGCGCGCAGTAAACCAGACTAGGAGGCGCAGAGGCACAGCGGTGGGAGACGGCTCAAGGGCTTTCCGCAGCTGAAGCCCCTGGAGCCTCTGAGAAAGGTGGGGCTCTCTGCAGGCGCGGCGTCCAGGGTCCCCAGCCCAGGCTGCCCTTTAGAACATGGGGAAAGGGATACGCAAAGCCCATGCCCAGTCCCTTCCCCAGTGGCTAGATTCTGGCTAGGGTTCTGGGGTGCTTCCTCCAGCCCTCTATCTCCCAATTCACCTCTCTCCTCCCTTCATACCTACCTGGGTTCCTGGATCCCCTCTCTCTTTACCTCTTATCCTTCCCCCTCAGGTCCCATCTCTCTGCCCTGCTCCCTCCCACTGCAGCTTGGGAATTATAAGCACAAACTAAACTGTCTTTAAAATTCCTTTTTGGGGCGCCTGGGTGGCTCAGTGGGTTAAGTGTCTGACTCTTGATTTCCGCTCAGGTCATGATCTCAGGATGGTGGCATCATGTCCCCCACATGGGGCTCTGCTCAGTGCAGAGTCTGCTTCTCCCTCTGCTCCTCCCCCCACTCCTGCTCTGTCTCTAAAATAAATAAAATCTTTAAAAATAAAATAAAATTCCTTTGCTATGAAAAGAGAAAGAGGGACGCCTGGGTGGCTCAGTCAGTTAAACGTCTGCCTTCGGCTCAGGTCATGATCCCAGAGTCCTGGGTTCAAGCCCTTCCTCAGGCTCCCTGCTCAGTAGGGAGCCTGCTTCTCCTCTCCCACTCCCCCTGCTTGTGTTCCCTCTCTCGCTCTCTTTCTGTCAAATAAAATCTTTAAAAAGAGAGAGAAATGGTCAACTTCAAGACATCCTACAAATTTGGTAAACCATACCATCTGTTGCAGGTTGAATGGCATCCCCCCAAAACATCAAGTTTAAATCCTAAGCCTTGGTACCTGTGAACGACCTTATATGGAAATAGGGTCTTTGCAACTAATCAAGTCAAGAAGTCATACTGGATTAGGATGTGCCTTAAACTAAATGACTAGTGTCCTGATAAGAAGAGGGAGATTTGGAGACCCCAAACACACAGGAAAAAATAAACTTGTTGTTTTAAGCCACCGAGTTTGTGATGTTTTGTTACAGATGAATCAGAAAAAAAACATTTACTATTATTAGAATAAAACAAAGTGCAATAGCATTGCATACAGGGTTGCAAGATAGCTACTTTTCACTGAAACGGATCCCGGAAAGACGTCCCTGAATGACACTGGCCATCAGAAAAACCTGAATAAGTCTTATGTGGCAACTATGTGGACATTAAATGATGTGGGGTTTTTTTTTAAGAATGTATTTGTGAGAGCACACGCACAAGCGGAGGGAGGGGGGAGTGGCAGAGGGAGAGGGAGAAGCAGACTCTCCGCTGAGCAGGGAGCTCAAATCGGGGCTTGATTCCAGGACCTGCAGGACCTGGAGATCATGACCTGAGCTGAAGGCAGACACAACCCACTGAGCCACCCAGAAGCCCCTAAACGATGTTAACTTTTTTAAAAGAGTGATGAACCAAAAATTAAGAAAAATAAAAATACTGGTATATGAAGAAATGAAAATTTAACAGCAAATAGTTTTATTTCATATGAACTGTGTTTTACAATAAAAGGGAAAATAAAATGCAGAAATTACAAAGGGCAATTTATTAGGAAAGCAGATAAAAGGGAACAAACATAAAGCTGTACTAAAAGGCACCTCGGCCAGCAATACAGTTACTAGTTCCTAAGAGGAAGCGAAGCCAGACAGCCCACCAACAAAACGATATAGAAGATACTGGAGGGGAGCCCCTGTCCTCCGCATGGCAGCTGGAGAAGCCCACCTCCCCGAGCCCAGCTGGGGCCCTGCTACCCGCCCCCTCCACGGCCAGATCCGCTCCGGGACGGGTGCCCGCATCGGTGAGCCACCCCCCACCCCGGGCGCAGGGACAGGCACTGCAGCTCTAGAGGCCCAGCCTCGCAGGTCGGCCCCGGCCACGGTCTATCCAGCCCAGGATGCCCGGGCGAAAACACCGGCCTCCCGCGCACGATCGCGGGTCCGGGTCCTCTACGTCCCGCCAGGGACCGCCCATGCGTCCCAACGACCCGGCCCCGCCCGCCACGCTGCGGCCAATCCCACTCGCCCGCCGGACCACGAGCCCAGCCAATGGCCGCCATCCCCATCCGCAGCCAATCAGAGGATGAGCCCCGCTCTGCCCGGCCAATGCGGAGGCAGCCAGGGCCCCGCGGGTGGGACCCTCGGAGGCCTTTAGGACCCCGGGGGTGCCCGGCGGGCCGCCCGGTCGCCCAAACTAGTCCCGCGGACCTGGCGTCCGGGCGCGGGTCATGGACCCGGGACAAGCCAGCCGCCGCGAGGTCTCCGGGGTCGCCTCGCCCGCGCCACCGCCGTTCGTGCGCGTCGCCCCCTCGCTGTTCCTCGGGGCTGCGCGCACCGCGGCCGCGCCGGAGCTGCTGGCGCGCGCGGGAGTCACCCTGTGCGTCAACGTCTCGCGCCAGCAGCCCGGCCCGTGCACGCCCGGCGTGGCCGAGCTGCGCGTGCCCGTGTTCGACGACCCGGCCGAGGACCTGCTGGCGCACCTGGAGCCCACCTGCGCCGCCATGGAGGCTGCAGTGCGCGCCGGCGGTGCCTGCCTCGTCTACTGCAAGAACGGCCGCAGCCGCTCGGCCGCCGTCTGCACCGCCTACCTCATGCGGCACCGCGGCCTCAGCCTGGCGCGGGCCTTCCAGGTGGGCGGGCCTTCCAGGTGGGCGGGCCTTCCAGGTGGGCGGGCCTCCCAGGTGGGCCGGGCCTCCCAGGTGGGCGGGCCTCCCAGGTGGGGCGGGCTTCCCAGGTGGGCGGGCCTCCCAGGTGGGGCGGGCCTCCCAGGTGGGCGGGCCTCCCCGGGTGGGGCGGGCCTCCCCGGGTGGGGCGGGCTTCCCAGGTGGGCGGGCCTCCCAGGTGGGGCGGGCCTCCCGGCGTTAGGGGCGCGGAGCACCTCGAGGCGCTGAGGTCCGCCTCTGCTGTCCGTACGCAGGCCGTGAAGAGCGCCCGCCCGGTGGCCGAGCCCAACCCGGGTTTCTGGTCTCAGCTGCAGAAGTACGAGGAGGCCCTGCAGTCCCTGCCCTGCCTGTCCGGGGAGCCCTCGGGACCGTGCTCCGGAACTAGAGGAGATGAGCTCCAGAATGAGCCCTAGTCCTTCAGCCCTTGGAGAGCACCCAGCCCCCGATGCAGGGTGCATGGAGTTGGAGGCAGCTGAAGCGCTGACTGGAGGGGGTCTTTCTCCTCCTTCCTTACTGTCGCACAGTTTTCATTTTCCGATTCTTCCTGAAATGCTGCGCGTTTCTGTCCCGTTTGACAGTACGGCGGGAGTGTATCCACTTGAAGAGGGGACTGGAAGCGTCCCTTCCTTGGTCAGCAGGTTTACCAGAGAGGCCTTGGTCAGGAAAATCCAAACCACGTGAGGAATTTTAGGCAGAAAGGTATTTAATACAGAAGGCAAGGCCAGGGAGCCAAAATCAGGAGATGGGAAAGTATGGGAGTCACGGAGAGCCCCCACCCCAGTCCTGGCCGCCTGCCACTCTGATGTTGGCACCTCCTGGAGGACACCAGCAATGCTGGCAAAGCCTTGTGCCTGCCACTGTTGGAGCCACAGGGCTTTTCCCAGACCTCACACTGGTCTCATCTCACAGTCTGGCGCAGAATCCAGACCTGTAACTGCTGCAGCACAGGCCGGGATGTGAGGCTGCCTGACCACAGCCTAGCGCCTGTGCCCACCTCCGACCTTACTGACCTCCCAGTTTCCACAACAGCACTGAGCCCCGGCCTCACATCCCACAGCCACCCTCGTGTCAAAGATGCACTCACCACCTATGTGTCTGAGCACGTCAGTTCCTCTCTTGGTTCAGGCACACCTCACCTGGATCCTATGGTCTAAAGACTATACCAGAAAATTAATCACTATCAACACCTCTAAAATCAGATAGCAGGAGGGGAAAAGGGGGGAAACTGGCTTATAATATAAATTACAGACAATACAGCCCCCGGTTAATATATGCCACTATATACATATCAAGGTAATTAATAAAATATCATAATTAGTGTTTAATATTTCCCCTCCCCACTACTCATTTCATGTTCTTCTCCTCAACCAGCACCTCGCTGGTCCTGGTCTTTTCCTGGTGAGGTGATTCGAGCCTCCATTCTGAAGGGCCCTGAGTGGCCCTGTCTGCACTGGGGCCGTGGCCTTCCTCACCTCGTCCTCAGCGGGGAGTACTGGGGGCATCAGGAGAATGTCCGGAGCTCAGTAGCCCCGGACTTGCCTGTTGCCTCCGTGGCCTGAGGAGCCCAAAATGGTCAGGTGGTGTCTCAGCCTGCCATCTCAGCCTGCCACCTGTGTCCCTGGTAGAAGCATCATACCTGGGAACAAAACCTCTGACCCAGCAGAGCCCAAAGTTGTGGGGATGGGAAACTCACACTTTGTGAGTGAGGCACCGGGATGGCCATGAAAGGCGCCCCCTCCCCACCCCCCCGTTACACCTACACCTGGGTTCTGACTGTGACAGGAGTGACACCCTCTGTTAGTCCCTGGCTGCAAGCATATACCACACCTTGGAGGTGGGCACCCAGCCCCTGGCAATATCACCAGTCAGCAGCTCCTGCCCCCACCTGCTGCAGCCTGTCATGACCTGCCTGTAGCTCACTGCGGCCGAGCCACCTCCTACCACCTTTGTGCAGGGCTTGCGGGCTGCCTCACTCTCTCCAAGCCACTCAGAGCTCATGGCACCTTGCCATCAACCCCCTTCCATACAGGGGCTACTGCCACTGTGTCCACTCGGCAGGCGAGGTTACAGTGACTTGGAGGTGAGCCGAGCAGTTTACCAGGACCTGAGTCCAAGTTTTTACCCAGCATGCTCAGGGCACCCTTCCCTGGCTCTGGATAACGAAGGTGCAAGGCGACAGAGCTGAGCCAGGTGGAAAGACATCTGTGGGCCACATCAGTGTTTTACCCTCCAGTTCTGTTTGAGAAGCTCTTACTAGAGGCCCCGTTCTCCCGAGGACCTCTGCCTGCCTCCACGTGCACCTCCCAGCAGGGGAGGCAGGGACCCGTCCCCTCCCTGGCACAGTGCACCTGAATGGTGGTGCCAGTCCATGAGCATTAGGGGAAGGCTGGGTGTAGGCAGTGTTGACTGCTTCAGCCCACCCAAGCCAGCTAGGATTTGATCACCAGAAGACTGGAGTATGGCAATTCCTGTGGGAGAAACCCCAGCCTCTGAGAGCCCCGATTCCACCTTCCTCTCCCTGGGTCAGGTCAGGGTGGGGAGAGGGGAGAAGTGCACTGCAGCTTCTCCCAACCCTGCTCCCCTGGACAACGGGCTTTCCAGCTTTCCGGAGGGCTGGAGTGTAATGCAGCCTCCTGCTGCAGGGTAAGGGAGGGCAGCCAGACCGGCTACGGGGAAGGGCCTCGGCGCTATGCTGAAGGCACTGTCCCCTGCAGGACAGAGACAAGGTGGAAATGAGGACAATCACAGCCCTCCACCTGTGGGCCTCACAGTTCACAAGGTGCCTTAGTGGGCTGCCTTTAGTCCTGCAAAACATGTGTTTGCTCTAAAACTGGCTTATGTTGGTTCCTTACATAAATGTGGGTTAGCAGGCACCTCCACCCTGGGAGGAGAGGGGGTAACAGCTGTGGACCAGCAAGGCTGCCCGACTCCACCCGTCCTATGGGCAGAATTTGCCTTGGAGAGATACACAGCGCCCTCCAGAAGAGAAGGGATGAGATGTAACCCCTGTTCCCCAAGTCCAGGGGACCGGGAAGACAAGAAGCCCCTGATGGCTTCTGAGGGCACAGGTGGCTGGTCATGAGAGGACGAGGGCAGGCCAGTGTGGCTACCCACGTGCAATCCTGATGTTCCTCCAGCCTGAACCAACTGGCCTCGGGGAAGGGGCTCAGAGAAGCTCCTAAGACTGGGAATACAATCTAAAACCCTCGCCCTTGGCACCTCAGGAACACCACCACGTGGGCAGGCACTGGGCCACGTGAACTCAGAGAGGACCAATTAGACCCCAGCTCTCTCCTCTCTTGAGTCTTAGACGGAGAACTGACCTCCTCCTCCAGGTGACCGCAGGAGCCCTGGGATTCCTGGGGGGCTTGGGGTTGTGTTACCCAGCTAAGAGGACCCAAGGGAAAATTAAAGCAATGCTTCAGTGCATGTGCTCCACATGGGGGGACCTGGTCCTCCCTCCCAGCCAACCATTCCTCCCACCCCTCCCCCGCTCCCAGGGAGGAAGGTGGGCGCCATCACATGGGTTACAGACAGGAACAGAGTCCAGAGGATTAAAGACTACTTGGGGATGATGCCTGGCTGGGTGCAGCGTCTGCCCCACACCACGATGGCGCAGAGGAGAGCAGTGTGTGAGGCTCCTGGATGCCCTTCCAGGCCCCAGAGCTCCTTCTCCCCAAAGATGTGAATTCTTAACATCATGGTAACAGCACCATCTTGGTGGCCCCTCTCATTCCATGGCTTCTGGTGGATCTTGAAGCCTCCCTGGTGTGCAGCCCTCTCCTCTGGGCCCAGGCCTCTGGACAGGACCCTGCAAGGCGGGATGGGGCCAGATCCCTGCTACTGCCCCAGCACTCTCCTGCTCAACAGTGGGGCCTCGAGGGCCCAGCCAGCCCTTAAGACAGCACTTTCTGCGATGATGGAATATCCACTCGGACCAACACAGTTGCCACTAGCCACACAGTATCCTACACACACGTGGAGACCTTGAAATACGGCTATGCCAGGGAGGAACTAAACTTATAACTGTATTTCATTTAAATCTAAATAGCCACACACGGCTAGTACTACCTTATCAGACAGCACAGCCCTAAGGCCCCCGGAGCTCCACATGGCCCACAACACAGACCACTGGTCTCATGGGGGCGGCGGTGAGGGAGGCGTGTATACACTTCCTGGCTTTGCAGAAGCAGAGACTGCACTAGGCAGCTGTTGCCCCAGGAACCTGACCCACAGCAACCCCCAGGAGCCGGGTCAGAAGAGCACAGGGCTTGGGAAGCCGGGCCCCTGTGCGCCCTGATCCTCCAGTGCACAACACCCCCGGCACCCGCGCCCAGGACCCCCCACCCCCACCCCGGCTTGCTGTCCGGGCCCGCGCGCTTTGCCCCCAGTTCCCCCGCATACAGCTCCCCCGGCTTCCAACCCGGCCTAACCTTACCTCACATTGCCCCCGGACCCGCACACGGCGTCCCCCGCTCCCAGGTTTCCCGCGCACAGCGCCTCCCGCTCCCCGGCCCGGCCCCCAGTAGAGCGCCCCGGACCTCGGGGGCCCCCGCGCACGGCTCCCTCGTCCGCCCCCACCCCAGTCCCGTGCGCACTGCGTCCCCTGCTCCCCAGCCCGGCCCGGCGCACAGCGCCCCCGGCGGCGGCCGAGCGGAGCCCGAGCTGGGCGGTGCACGGCACGGGGCCGGGCCGGGCGGCTCCCGGCGCGACTTCCTGTTGTGCCCGCGCCCCGCCGCCGCCACCGCCGCCGCCCGGCGCCCCTTGCCCGCTCCCCGCGCCGCCGCCCATGGATTTCACCTAGCGCGGGCGGCTATGGCGGCGCAGTGCTGCTGCTGCAAGGCGCCCGGCGCCGAGGCCGCGCCCGCCCGACCGCCGCCGGAGCCGCCGCCCGCCCTGGACGTGGCCTCGGCCTCCAGCGCGCAGCTCTTCCGCCTCCGCCACCTGCAGCTGGGCCTGGAGCTGCGGCCCGAGGCGCGCGAGCTGGCCGGCTGCCTGGTGCTCGAGCTGTGCGCGCTACGGCCCGCGCCCCGCGCGCTCGTGCTCGACGCGCACCCGGCCCTGCGCCTGCACTCGGCCGCCTTCCGCCGCGCCCCCGCCGCCGCCGCCGCCGAGCCCCCCTGCGCCTTCGCGTTCGCGGCCGCCGAACCCGGGCCCGCGCCGCCGCCCCCGCTGCCCGCCTTCCCCGAGGCGCCCGGCGCGGAGCCCGCCTGCTGCCCGCTGGCCTTCAGGGTGGACCCGTTCACCGACTACGGCTCCTCGCTCACCGTCACGCTGCCGCCTGAGCTGCAGGCGCACCAGCCCTTCCAGGTCATCCTGCGCTACACCTCGACCGACGCCCCGGCCGTGAGTCCGCTGGGGCTGGGGCGGGGGGCGGGGGGGGGGCTGGGCCCAGGGTGGTCCCCCGGCAGCCTCTCCTCGCGCTGCCAGGTGAGGGGGCCTTAACCTGGGCTCTGCGCCTGGGGCACCTGCAGAGAGGCCGGGGCCAGCCTGGCCCTGGGGCGTCCGTGGCCTCCGGCCTGGCACTCCTCCTCCTGGCCCTGGAGTCCTGTTCAGGTGCTCTCAGCGATTTACAGCGGATGCCTGGGGAGTTTTTAGGAGCCTTGGACAAAGTGAGAGTCCCGGTGCTGGCCAGTGGATGGTGGGGGCAGGGGACAGCATGCCACCAAGGGAGGGCTCCCCTTTCAGTTGTGCCAGAGTTGTCCCTGCCTGGGGTCAGGGCAGCTTCCAATGGGCACAAGTCAGTCCATACATCTGCCCGAGCCCCGCACCGGGGCAGGCCAGGGGGAGGTGTCAGACATGGAAGGGCCTCCGTGTGACCTAGGTCTTCAGAGGACTTGGGGGCAGCTGATCTATTCTCTGGAGGTGGCTGTGAGGGCTGTACAGAGCTGCCAGAGCCGGAGAGGGCCGGCTTGGCTCTGTGCCTTGGGCCTTTTGGGTGAGGATTGGCCGGGGCTGCAGCTGGGTGCCCCCGCAGACAAGCACGTAGGCTCTGCCGGGCTTTGGGCACGGAACACCCAATGCCCCAAAGGCTCTGCCAGAAAGCCGAGGTGGCTCAGGTCTGGCTCGGTGGCTGCAGCACCCCTTCTGCCACGGTGAGGCTTTTAGGATGGAGCAGGGCCTTTCACTCCTGTGGCACGGGGGTTCCCTGGGTTCCCCCCACGTACACAGCATGCACACAGCTCTGAGAGGTCTTGGGGGGTTCCATCTGTCACTGTCTGTAGCATGCAAAAAGGGACAGGTGGTGTGGTGGCATCCGGCCAGGGGCCACCAAGGTGACGATCTGGGTGGGAAGAGCCCAGACCAGACACACACCTGTGGGCTTCCTGTGTGATTCCCA